CCTGTCCCATTAACTAGTCTGCCTAATTTATTGAAATCCCTTTTAATTACTCTGATGCCTCTTTCATTAATATCATCACTGCCAGCCTGGACTACGAGCAGTGGGTAGTAATCAGAGGGCCGAAGGAGCTTTGGGAGTCTCCTACTGACATCCCTTACCCGAGCCCTGGGCAGGCAGCACTTCCCTGTGGGATGGGTCCGGTCGGCATATAGGGCCCTCAGTTCCCTTCAGAAGGGAGTCCCCTAATACAATTACCCGTGTCATTTTCTTTGTAGCTGTGGTAGTAATGATGGTAGTGATGAGTGTAGAAGATGGGGGCAAGCTGGAGATCCTCCAGGTGGATCTTCGTTATGACTGGCCTCTGCCTGACTCTCTGGGTCCAGAGGCTCATACCTGTTCTTTAAGAGCAGCTGGGGAGGTGATGGGGATTGGGAGGGGATTCTTTTACCTCTTCCATCAGGGACCTGTTTCCATTCCCACTACCTGCTTGGTTTGCTCCATTTGCCTGATGGCAGGAGGGGCAGAGCTTCACCATCTCCTGCTGAGCTTCTTTTGGGCTCAAAAGGGTGTGACTCCACCAGTCTATTCCCCTTTCCCTGCCCCTAATGCTGCTTCATCTCTCTACTTCTTCCTTGAGCTCTGCCACAATCATTCACCTGCTCACATGACACAGGTGTGACTCGCACTGTCCTCCGAGACTAAGGCCAGACCGAGACACCCTGTGCAGCAGTGCCCTGAACAGCTGTGTCCTGCACAGAGGGTTCTGCCTGGGTTACAACATTCCTCCTGGTAGCGGCAGCAACAGTCTTTGCTCGCGTAGACACCATTGCTGGGTCTAGCTGTGCTGTGGGAAAAAAAAAAGAAAGAAAAGAAAGAGAAAAAGAAAGAAAAAAAGAAAGCAAAAACACAGAAGAAAAAAAAGCAAGCAAAAACAAAGCAAAAAAAAAGGCAAGAAGGGTGGCTGTGCCCTGTCTGCTTGCTCTGCCTGAGTGAACTGCCCTCCCTGCCGTGCCCTGTTCGCAGCGCTCAGGGTCGCTTGCGCTCCCTGGGTCAGTTTAAGAGCCACCAGCCCCCCCGGTCAGCAGTGACAGCTACCCCCAGGTAACTGAGCTCAGCTCCAAATGATGCCCCTGAAGCTCCTAACGTGAACTTACCACATATTCATCTATAAATTCTGATGATGTTTTCCCTGTTTTGAAACTTCAGGAATAAAACTAGTTAGTTCTATCTCCTTGTCACCACACTGTAATTTAAACATACTGTGTTTCTACTCAGAATATTGGAAATAGGCAAAGGCAATGCTAAATGATAACATACCCTACGATGACATAAATGAGGAGAAGTGTCTGAGGCAGTGCCACTTATGCACCTGAACCAGTCAGAAGAAACATAAGTCAGTTGCTCAGCTTTGCAGTCACGCTCGTTCCTGGTTTCTATGTATTTGCTGTTTCTGGTTTTTGGTTTTTGGAGGAACAACTCTGAAAGAATCTCTCAAAGGATAAGAGAGGGCAAGTTCCTATGCCAGCAAATCATTACCCAGGAAAAGAACTTCTGTAAAAGCAAGATGCTCATAGTTTGCCTTAGAGCAAGCCCAAATACACCAGGCAACTGTGTACGAAGTGGTTTGTCTGTTGATCACTTTCTAGATCAGAATCAAGGCCTCCACTCAGTCACTGAAAAGTTTTCTGGACAAGATTACCAATCTTTATTTTAAAACTAAACGAACCAAAAATCTTTGCATCGAGAGAGCTCTTCAAGAATTGCTATGATGAATATTTTCTTTCAAGAGAAAAATTTAATTTAGCACAGTATTTCAAATTCAGCAAAACCCAAAAATTTTCCCAACATTTTAGTACCTATATGACCACATCTCTTCTTCAGTTAAGAAACATTTTCTCCATTACATTTTCTTGAAGTAGTCTTGCTCTGTATAGGTTTTAAGGTTCGTTCCAAAGATTTTTTTGCAGATTACAGAGGGCACATCAGTTTAAAAAAAAAAAAAGTAAGTAAAATGTGGTAGGAGTACACAAAAAGAACACACAGACAAAGGCTAACTCCAGAAAAGAACTAAGGATATATTTGAATGGAGGTTGGAAAAAGCTGTGACCTCAGCCAGTGGTGCAGGAAGCATTCCTTGTAGCCCTCAGATGAAATGGTGGGAGCAAAATAGCAGAGGTGCTAAAACAGGCCCTAGAGAGACTCTGGAAGACACCTGTCAGGAAAAGGTGCATAAAATAGAAAAGGGGGAGTGGAATACAACCAGCAGTGCCATATAATTCCATGCATTCCCAAGAGCAGGTTTCCCACAGATCCTGAGTTACACACAGACCTCTAGACAAGGCAAGAATGCCAACCAACACAGCGTGAACTGAACAGAACCCTCAGTACTCCAAACAGATTACATTCAAAACCAAAACCATGTTAAGTTTGGAAGACAAGTTACCTGTGTTCTGGTAAATCACTGCCCCTCCCCCCATTCACTTTTGGGTAGTAAATGGTATAGCAGACAAAAGGTAAAGGAAACAGAAACTTATCTCCCTGGGGGAAAAATTAGTGACTACATTAAAGCTTTTAAATTAAGGCAGCTAGAAAGGATGTGTTAAAATGTATAAACACAGTCATTCCTAATTAAAGAGAACACTCATGTATTGTCACCAGACAGCTCAACAGAAGACTTGACTGAAGAATCCACAGGTACAAGAAAATCTGAAGATAACTCGAAGCGCACAGTAGGAAGAGCCTGTGCTGTAATATATATAGAAATGTGTTACTGCTCACTGCTTGGTCTTGGCTGAAAGATTTGCGGTGCAACACAAGAGGGGACAAAAGACACTTAAAAGGAACAGGAGGGACAGCCTCAAGATGTCACTGTGTCGTTACAAGTCCGTAACTGAAAAGGTCTTTCAGAAAGATCTGCATTTGTCAATGACGCCTTAGTGGCAAAGAGCAATGGTTATGCCACATTTTAAACTTTTATTTGCTTCAGGTAACTCTTCACTGGCTTCAAAAGATAAAAAACCCAATCAACTTGTGAATTGCAATCTACTCAGTTCCTACAAAAATCCAAGCAGAAGCCCCTTCACCCATAGTTGCATCTATACCCATACAAGCAACCACAGTTTATTTCCTAAAGTTTCTGTAAAACACCGGCATGGGAATTTATTATCCTGCAGCCTGTCTCCTTTTAGAAACAGTTTAAATAAAAAAAGAAATTGGAGGAAGGCAAGAAAGAAGGAAAAGAGCTCTCCAGTGTCCTCTCCTCCCCAACCCCCCACAGAAATGCCCAGAAAAGGTGATGAAAATCCTGGGGAAGGGGGACCTGGCAACAGTGTTAAAACGTGATCTCTTTTTGCTATAGGCAACAGACACAAAGGGGCAGCAGAAACAAATGACAAAGAACTATTCCATGAATGTAATAAAGAAAAGGGGAAAAAATTCAAAACTCCTGGTGGCAGGCCAGCCAGTTTTAGTCTGTAAATTACTTCTCTTGTTCCTGCCTACTCCAATTCCCAGCGCAGTTTAATAAGCTCAGCAGTAAAACCAACAAACCCCCCTGCTTCAGAAATCCCCTGCACTAGGCAAGGTCCTTCATCTGCACACTGGGACACTGCACTGGGGCTGTTCAGATTCTCAAGCACATACATACCATGCACTCACAAAGCTGCCAGGTCTGAGTGTATTTTCCTTCTTTATCCGACTGAGTAATAAAGCCAGGACAAACACCACACCAAATGCCGCAGCATACAGCCCTCTCCAGCTGCTCTGCAACAATGAGGCCTATGGCTCCATGCCCACGGTCCCTCCCTCGGGCCAAGTACCAGTATACAAACTGCCACGATCCAAACGCTTCCGAAGACCCCCCACAGCCGTGTACAGCTTAGAAAACCTGGCAGCAGAGCTGCAAGGAGCTTAACAAGAGTTTCTTCTCTCATAGCAGAACTGAAGACAGGAAAGCCACTAACGGGGCAAACATGGCCAAGAATTTTTTTTCCCCTTAAGCAAGCCTTTAACACCTGTCAAAAAAATAAAGGTTCCCTGCAGAGTCACTGTACAGCAACCACATATGAGTAGGAGTAAACACAGAATAACTCCTGGTCTGGACAGACAGACCATTGCATCACTGTAACACAACATATGACTTTATAAATACAGCTTAAATCAGCTGGAGCTAACAATGTACTACCATATCAGCTATCACTGACACGAGGCTGGGAAAGGCTGGGAAAATATTTTTCAGGATAAAAGAATCATTGCTCATAAATGCCACTAATAGATTCTTCCTCATTTCTTCTTGCAACCTCAGTCACCTATTTGTGCAACACATTATTAAGTGGAAGCAGTTCTGAATAATTATTGAAATGCCACAGAATAAGCATGAAATGCCTCAGGAACTGCTTCATAATTCTTAAAAAAATACAGTATTTGGTTTCTTTACAGTTAAAAACCTGTTGTTCTGCTGTCTATTACAAATACATGTGCTACTCCATCTGTAAAGTATTTGTGATGTAGCAAGGAAATGCTCTGAGTACATAATATCCCCATCCACATCCTTTGTGGTGTACTGTAGACTTACATGACTGTTACAAAACACAACGTTGGGAAATGGAATGGTTTTCCTGCCACAGCACAGTGAGCTCTCCAAGACACTGCTATTGTATGAAATACCTTAAGATCTCACCTAGCAAACATTAACCTTAAGAAAATACTTGACTTGCAACGTAATACAACTTCACTTACCTGAACAGTTGTTTACATCACAGCAATAAAGTGCTCTGTGCAAAGAGTCACTTACCTACATTTTCAAGACATGTGTGAGCTTCACACACTGTGGGGAGGTACAGAAGTGTAATTGTAGCAACTCCAAAATGCAAAGTAAAATAATCTGCAAGAGATTTTTCTCTGGGCATGTGTATATCAAACATCTGTACATCAAACTATGTCCTTCTACAGAAAAAAAAGGAAAATCAAATTTCCTCACCTGCGTGGCCTAGTTCTGGGAGACATCATCTCATTTCCAAGGATATGGTATCGCCTGGCTTCATGCAGCAGCTGATAGCACTCTGGGGAATTCTGAATCAGCTGGTCCACCTCCACGGTCTGAACAAAGTAGTTGGGGTGTAAGAGCGGGAGCCTGACATGCGTCAGGAGCTCGTGGAGCACTGGTCTGCGCAACTCCACTGCGCGGTACACCCAGCGCATCACGGCTTCGAACACCATCTCCTCCTTACTGATCACCAGCTCATCACTGCAAATATAATCAATAAGCTCATCCTTCCCCAGCTCCAGGAATTCTTCATGCTGGGACACATCCTCGAATGTCTGCAGCGCAAAATTCCTGCACTTGGTGAACAGTGTCTTGAGTGAGTGCGTATCTGCGAAGCGCTGGATTCCCAGGCAGTTGCAGGGATCCAGCTGCTCTTCCAGGAACTTGGCGCAGGCATCGCGCAAAACACTGATCTGAAAGAGACTCGATGTTTCGAAGAGATACTGCACGTTCTCTGTAGTGATTTTCACCTTGCCCGTGTACACGTACTGTAAAAAGCAATCCATGGCTTCAGCAAAGATGCCATTAATCTCCACCAACATCTCTCTGCTTTCTCTGTGGTCATTGCAGAACATGGCCCTGAAGTAGCTGCTGCAGGCCGAGAGGACCGCGCGGTGGCAGGGGAACTCCCGTCCCTCCACACAGATGATGACATCTGTGAACAGCCGGCTATCTCGGAATTCATTGAAGATCTGGAGAATGCTTTCTGCATGGGATGATCCCGAGGAGAAGTCGAAAAACTCAGGACCTGACAACGATTTTGGGTCCATTTCAAAAACTTTCCGCTTGGTTGCAGGGGAATCTCGTATCCCACTATCCTCTCTATTCAGTCTGCGTCCCAATATTAGTACCATTGTTACATCAGTTGGCTATAGAGTCATTGAGAAAAATTTGCAGAGTTTCTCCTTCTCAGTGCTATGATCTGAAAAATCAAAACACTTCAGTATTCAATCTGGCATGCTCTTAGGTTCATCACAAGAATTAGACAAGATACTTGTTTGATCACCCTAAGAACCGCTGCAATTGTTGACCTTTCATAGAGGTGACACAGGACAAAGTACCACACTCCGCACAGGGCAGTGCAGCACTATCTGCCCCACATTACATACAACATATTCCCATACAACAGCTGTCCTGGGTGGTATGTTCTGAATGTACCAGCACCACTGTCAGTGCATTAGTGTTCGACATAAAAAACCCCTCCAGATCTCAGCTCCACCAAATCACCCGACTGACAGAAGACGCAGATTTCCTGGATAATGGTCCAGAGCTTGGAATTCTCACTTTTTTGAGTGTAATCCTCACTTCAGTTGGAGTCTCCAAGGACTACTATAACAGCACTAGTCAAAAAGAGGGTGGGGGGAGGAAGACTGAAATTCTAAACATAAAAATTCAGGTGAGAAAACACTCCATTTTCATTATAAAGTCAATCATAATGAAGTCATATAATACCAGTGTTTAATAAGATTCAGTTAGCTCAACAAATAACCTTGACCATAAGTTTTCACCCATTCATTCCTAGTATGTAAAAAGTAGTTCACTGACTAAATTAACATAAACTGCTAGCACACAAACCAGAATGAACTACACTTGTTTGTATAAAACTACTGAAATAAGAACCAAAGGCAACTTGCTGAGGACAGGGAAGTTTTCTGTTTTCACAGTACAACTAGCAAATTTTTTTTTCAAACACCTTCCAGTTTCAAGTACAAGTGCAAATGTTCCCCTCGTTATACACACTCACATTATCAGAGCACTGAAGCTGCAAAAAGCAAGTACTCAGTCAGATGTTAGGTCAGGCCAGTATTAAAGTTTGCGGGTGAAGAAAATGCAGCTGACTTTGCAGACAGAGCACATTAGAGGTAGTGACATCAACCAATCTAGCAGCAAGAGGGCTTTTTTTCCTCTTCTGAGCTTAAATATGACCTGGATGAGTGTCCAACAAAACATACTGAGGCAGCAAGAATCTGGGCCAAAATGCTTGTAGTATTTATTTCTATGGCTACAAGGACATGGCTGAATTATTTTAAAGTTGATGGAAATTTTTTCATGCCTCTCCAAGGTTATATTCAGTTTCCCTGAATACAGTCAGGAAATGTGAACTCCTCACAGTAATTTCATTTCCTGATGTGCTCGCATCCTCAGAGCTGCAATTACGCAGGCCCAGACTGGCCACGTCATCACTTAATATAGAACACAACGAACATGCCTTTTTTAAACAGCCTTTTTACACAGCACCTTTAAAAGGCACCATCTGAACAAACAGCAAGGAAAGAATGTGTGCTATACCTTTACCCATTGAAAAAACAGAGTCTAAAACTATCACGGTCCATATAAAATTTTTACACAAATTTACAAGGTGTGGCTCATTTACTCTACAAAATATTTGACTTAAAAGAGGACCAGCTGTCACTTTGAGGACTGAAAAACACAGTGTTGCAGTGAGCCTACCAAATAACCGATTGCTTCACAGAGGCTTTAATGAGGCAGAAATGGAGTGCCTGATCTGCAGCTGATACTCTATCCAGTGTATTGCACAATCATTTTACCCAGTAATGATACAGGCCAGATACAAAACAAACTCAACAACAACCACTAGGACCTCACCAGTAATGTTGCTAACACCCTAGCCTTCACACTGAACTTCATCCGCAACTAACTGCATGCCATTAGTATGAGAAAGTGGGCAGAAATGATGCATCAGCAGCAGAAAAGGGAAGTGTAACAACGAAAACATAAACCCCAAAGGCTTGATTCCCGCATCACAGACTTAAATCAGAAGAATTTCACAAAAGCTAATGAAGCTTTTCCAAAGCAAAGTTAGCCTGAAATCAGAAACAAGACACCAGCCCTTTGCATGAAAGGGCAAAACACTGAAACTAAGTAAAAAAAACACTTCAAGATTAAATCTCTCTCATTATGTGAGAAGTTAGGACTTGAGACAGCACTGTATTATGCAATCACTAACAAATGGAAACAAGGGTTTAAACCCTAACAAGGGTTATTACTGCTCACTGAAGGAAGCAATGTCTTCCTTATGCTTGGAAGAGCAGAAAAGTAGTGATCAGCAAATTATTTTTTAATGCCCCAATGGTTTAAAGAAAATGGAGACTACAAAAAATAATCCATGGAGCAAAAACTAATCAAGGGCATAAATACTGTAAATTCACAAAGACACTAGAAAGGAAAAAGAATCGCACTCTACTGCAGAACTTATTGCTGGTGAATAGCTCTCCTTCAATTTCCGTCCAGTTAATTACTTCTGCAGGTTTGGTTCAGCAAAGCAATTCACAAGCCTATCAGTAACAGTGTCACATGTTCAGCTCTATCACCCATAGATGCATGGCCTTCCTGCAAACCTAGCCCTGACAGTTTTAAAATGTCACCTTCCATCTGCCTTCCCCAAGTGGGAAAGGAAGAGGGGAATCTGTGCCTGAGGCTAGACTGGTTAGCAGCAAAGGGGAGAAACAAGGAGGTGGGGGGATACACCTGTCTCAATCTCCTGTGTATGCAGAGGTACTCATATGCCTTACCTGCCTACAGGCTCTGCATTATAAAGCACCAGTCCTTTAAAGACTTTAACACTCAGGTTTCTTCAGTAAATTTAAACAAAACAAAAGAAAAATAAGGCAAGTATTGGGAATTATTAGATCAAAAATCCAAAACAAAATGCATTGGATTGCTTGTCTGAGCCAGGGTCAACAAGGACGGCAAATCACCCTGCCCACTGCAAAAAGGGGAAAGGAAAAACAAATCATACTTTGGACCATCAAGCTTTAAAAATGCTTTACAGAGACATGGCTCTGACCTGGATGTTACCTGCACACACACATACATATCTCTGAGTTAAACTGGGGTCACCAGAAGTTCAGGTCCCCCTATTTCCTTCACCCATGTTGTCTGTAGGCTGACCACACATGGTGTTCCTCAGGAATAACCCAAGAGCCCAATTCTAAGGCTGGTAAAAGAGATCTATATAATGTTTGCCCTGACAGCTTCTATCAATAAATCCTCCCATGCAAAATACTTCCATACTGTACTGAACTCGTCCATCCTCCACTGGCACATCCTCATGTACTTTACCCCTCTCCCTTCATCCACAGCTCTGCCAACAGCTGGCAGCTGTTCTCCTGCGCTGCAGAGCTCTTGTGGCCCGTTAGCAGAGCTGACAGAAAGCAGCAGAAGAAACACGGAGCAGGGTCGGGGCAAGGTCCTGCAGTAAGACCTCGTCAGCAGGTGTGCCCGAGCTCTGCCTTCAAAGTTCACCCTCGGGGTGTAGTTTCGAGAGTACCTGAGGCTGAGCCGGGTTCTGACGCTGCCAGGGAAGGTGGTGTCCAGCCTGTTCCTGCCGCCGCCTCACGTCAGCACGAGCGCTCGCCCGCCGCGGCTGGAGCAGGGACTGTCTGTGGAGGGAGGAAAGGAGGTGCTGGGCACAGGCAGCTGCCCCAGGGCAAGGCAGGAGCCACCAGCACAGCCCTGTGACAGCCCAGCACGTTAGCACACAGAGCAGAGCCGCGGCTGACAGCCAGAGCCTGCGCGCAAGCCGCGGCTGCTGTTCCCGGGGACGGCATCAGGAATAGCAGCCCAAGGTAAGGCAATCAAATGCCGTAACAGAAAGGGTATTTTCACTCCAAGGCATGGAAAATGTACCTCAGGTTTGGCCAATTCTTCTTATTTTGTGATTTCAGATTACATGACCTGTAGATGTGCTTCATCTCAGATGTCTGGTTACCGGAGGAGCTGGCGAAAACAGGCTCCCGGTGCACCTACTGCAGCTCACTGGCTGAACCACAACACGTGCTCTTTTGGTTTTAAAATGAGAGAAAGAAAAGAATAACCTTTCCCTCCCGCAAAAAACAAACACAGCATTTATTTTCCCTTTGTCTTTGTGATACAAAAAACTCCAAAAAAGTTGTCGACTTTTAAGAGATTTTAAAAATTTGTCTTGTTTTAGAAATTGCAGACTTCAATGTCTAACTTTAAGTCTTTAAGAATATTGAGTAACTAGTAAACAAGAATTCAGTGATCAAGGTAACCGACACGGTAAGGAGTTAGTTGCACTGTAGAATTTTTTATTCTAGTGTAAGATACTGTTTTGCTTTAAAAAATAAAGCATGCCAAAATTCAATAGTAATCCAAGCTAATGACACACAAAAACAAGCCCTAGGTGCCCTGAAAAATCACCCACCAAAAAAACAAGAACCGATTTGGACATGAATCTCTTGAAAACAAAACTAAACCAAAACGGACGCCTTTAACCTGCGCAGAAGGCTCGAGGAACCCTTTTGTACGTGAGAAGGGCCCCGAGAAGGGCAGAGACCCATAGGAGGGGAGAAAAAAAGCACACCGTGTAATACTCTTCACGTGCGGGGCAGAAACCCAAAGAGCCACAATCCTTCCCCCTCGGTTTCGCTATCGTTCTTGCACGTACTCAGATGTTGTTAAAACAAACCAAACCAGAACCGAGTCCCGGCCCCGTCCTGACAGTGCTCCCGGGGCTCGGC